ACCATAGTCACGAAGACATGCTGTTTATTGATGGTAACCCGCAACCTAAGCCCCGGGGTTTATATTGGTGAACCAGATAAGGTCTCGCTAGGTTAGGTGTAGTACAGAACCGAAACGAGCCCCACTACCTGATCCCGTATTCCATCTTCATTCTTATGTGCACTGCATCAAATTGCTGAACAAAGAGCACTGTTTGGGCACCCAATTCCAATTCCGTCTTACAATTAAAGCAATAAGGCCTTTACCGCACACAATCTACATCTAAATGGGGAAGGGCTGATGAAAGACCACAACTGGTGTGTAGTTTCATCCTTCGAGAAAAAACGAACAATCGTACCCAACGAAACGGTCTCGTCCTCGTAAGGAAGGTTCACCTACCATGCATTTCAGTTTTACACAGCGATTCTCCCATTGATCTCACATTTTCCACTTTATCATGACAAAATTTATTTGAGTATACCACTACTGATTGTGGTATTTCATCAATCTTTGCAAATGAAAGCAACAGGACGCGCATTACTTGAATAATCGTTCTCCAAATTGAACACTATTCGAGTCTTCCCCAAACACACCTATGCCCAACTTTGACGGCAAAGTTCGCAATTTGCAATGCATCAAGAACATCACGATAGTTGTCAGACCAAGTTTCTTTAGGACCGACTAGAGGCAACCCAACGTTACGCACGAACGTCGTTCTCTTTTGCGTTTTTCTCTTCTTCGCTGGGATTTGCCTTGGCCTGGGCAGCCTGGCAGTATTCAGTCCACATGTAAATCATGGAACGCTTTTCTCATTTAAAAAGATTAATGTACCATGACTTGTTTGGCAGAGTTTGGCGTCAGACGTGTGTAAAAGATATATATATATATATATATGTATATATATATATATATTGCGCTCGACCATAACAGCCCTGTATTTCCTGGCGTTTTTCGTGGTGCCTACAAAACTTATTTCTTCGGGCAACCCAATGACACACACGACTCTCGATACAAACTGGTGTTTGATTGCCTTGTAGGCGCACCGCACTGATCAATCTCGTACAGTTAGATTGAAAAAGTGAAGAACGTCGAGACAGCAAAACTGACCTGGGATATGAGACGAAAATCGTGACTGACTAGAAGTAAACCTCCTTCGAAATCCTCGATTGCATCGGCCAAAGAGTCGATTGTTTCAATATCCAAATGGTTGGTAGGTTCATCAAGCAGTAACAAATGTGGGGCTTTTTGGGCCAGCCATGCGAAAATTATACGACATCTCTGACCGTCTGAAAGAGTCCGAATAGGACAAACCTGAAGTACAAAAAGTATTAAGGATGAGAGGAAATCCCTGTTCTGTAACCACGCAATAAAAAAATCTCCAACTACAAAGAATTTCTCGTTCGCATGTCAAACATATTATCCCATGGAAACAGCTTGCATTATGGGAATATTTTTAACTACCGTTACATAACACGCAAAAAACACGAGTGAATCGGAATCCTTCTAGAGCAACAGACGCGAGCCGGGAGTGACGCAACGGCGACGACCCGGGCCCCGAATAAGAAATTAGACTACGGCCATACGAACATTAAAAGGCAATCAAACCGGTAGTCAGTAAACCGATAGGGCTAACACACGTGATATTGGACAAACCATCTCGCACATTTTTTTTACTCCGATCTGTTTCGGTCATTGATTACCTCCGAACTGAACTATTTCGGGTCGAGATAATTAGTGTCCATCGGGCATGAATGTCTTTGGTTCGAACCCCGGGGCACTGGCACTTTACTATTTGAGTAGTCCGGTTCACTTTCGTCCGATACAACGCGATCACCTGATGGGGCCTCGTGCAGCTTGTCGCTTAGGTAGCCCGTTTCCTTTCCGGTAAAGAAGGGGTTTACCTTTCCTGAGATTGTTCTAATCCATTAGTTCGACCCACGCATTACCCAATCACAGTTGGGGGCCGAAGAAACAATGTAGAGCAATTCAACTGGTCCCTCGATAGCTTTCCTGTCTACTCTACCTCGTGTCTCAAGTATGAAAGATGATATGGGGTCGAGTGAATGTATCCTACTGATCCGATCTGTTTTCTATACCATCCAGCATAAACGTGGTTTCCAGCGCACTGGACCCCGATGATCACTGTGTATGATAAGAGGGTGGGAATAGTCATTCACAGGTTATTTAGCTAAAAATGTAATGTCATTCTGTTTCCTATTTGCCTTCTGTATCACCACTCGGACCAGGCACACATGTGATTACCCATGCATCCTAAGAAAACCCGTAATTAGAGGAAGTGCTTTCCGATTTGTTCCACGCAGACATTGTGGGATTCTCAACTTTCCCTACCAGGAGTTTTTTTTATTACACACCTAGGTGTGATGAATAGCAGACGGGGAGGATCCCATAGTCACGAGGACCTGCTGTTCAGTGATTGAAATCGACAACTTAAGTCCCGGGACTTGGAGTGGCGAACCACATAAGGCCCCGATAGGTTTTGCGTGGTATTGAACTGGACGACAGCAGAGCTGCCTACCACCAAGGAAGCTTTCCACCCACTGTGTTCCATCATGAAAAAAGTTTTATCCTTGCCTTCAATTTTTTCCCGGATCAAAAGTCAGCTAGTCTAGCCAAGACTCATCCACGTCTTTTTTATGGGCACATTACTTCTTCAAATATGATTCTAAAACCAGTTTGCGGAATCACGTATTTGTAGCTGCCTTTTAGAGCTTCTATTCAAACATTTCTTGTGGATAATCGAGTCATCATTTCTAAGCATAACTTTCGATGTGGCAAAAAGTAGTGACAAATCCAACGGTGTTTTTGAGGAATTCACAACATTGTCATGTTTCGCCAATGGGTGGCATTATTTATCTAACCGAATCGGTTTTACGCGGTAAATGACACTTATCCCCATGGAATTTACACCCAACACATCCTCTGACAATTTTGCATTCCATATGACATTTCGCACTTTCTCTCTCTCTCTCTCGATACAGCAATCGATTCTGCCACAGAGCTCTGTATAAATTTCGGTTTCGCTAACATTTGTGGAATCTTAAGATTCTGATCATTATGATATGATTGCATACTTATTCTCAATCAGTTAGTTAGTTAATATTACTACCATTACTACTACTACTAATAATAATAATAATAATAACAATAGTTAGGACACCAAATTGCAGTCAACGAGTGAGTCACTCAACTTGTCCGGAAGGTTGCATGGGCTACCAACCAAATGCCATTTTTGAGGATCAATGTAATCAACACACATTCAGAGTGTATATCTAAAAGGTTGTACCAGTCTAGTTGCCTTTACATTTAGTGGGGTTATAATTAAAGGTCCGTTTTATACACATAATGGTCGAAAAGCCGAGGAAAGGAATGCGCGATCCTCACATAAACAACGATCACCGTGAAATAGTGAATGCACGAGCTCACCTGCTGAGCACCGGAAAGACCGTAACGACCAAGGAGTTTGCGCATGTCATCTCTTTCCTTGATCTCTGGGTAACATGACATCATCCAATCCACGGCAGTCATATTGATATCTAGCATTTCATGCAGATGCTGTGAGGATGATCAAAAGTAAGCACGGTTCAGGAGAGAAGTTTCACATCTACCAAACAATCTCGGGTTCCAACTCGAACCCCATCAGTGACCATGAGAGCGGAAAGACTATTATACAACCCTGTCGTCCCTCGCGGACGAGCCAGCAAAAAACCGAAATTGACGCTGCGGTAAGCCAAAAGATGAAATGTACTGAAGTGAGCACGATGATAGATCATGTAGGCAGGAATATAGATAGATCAGCCTGATGCAACAGATTCACCGGCTGCATTCACTCTAGAGGGAAATCACTAGCATGCTCAAATACTGAACGATAAATTGTTTTGCATTCACAAGCCCATAAATCGATCAAAAGGGATCTGCTTACACTTAAAGTGAACTCTGTTTTTGACATTTGGATACATTAAAAGATGGAGGATAATAAACACTGCTCACAAAAGACCCCTTTAGAACACCGTTTCAAAAGAAGCTATAGACAAAAACCCGTAATAATTAAGCCTCGATCGTGGTATTTACGACACACGTAGCACCGTTATTAAACTGATGACGATTATGAGGGTGTACTTTTACGTTTTATGATTCTAAGCACATTTTTGTATCCTCTTCTGATGAACAGAGTTCACTTGTGAATGCAAAACAATGTATCGTTTGTGTTACACTTGAGATTTTTACTCCTAGGAGTATCGCATGTTATACAGAAACACTGAACATGTGCGAGATGTGTCAAATGATTTAACAATACGGGCACATCGGTTAAACCCTCTTCAATCAACATGTGTTGCTGTATGCAACCCCCACACCTCATTTCTTAACCCAGCTTTGCGGCATAAACATTTATAGAAGTTAAAGTTGAAGTTCGTTAACTTCAGAATATTCCGATACTTTTTGATCTGACTCGCCTACTGAAACGTGGAGAAATTTGGTGCGTTGAAGTTAAAGGACTACGGGTCTTGGTTGACGCATTACGGGTCGAGGCTAAAGGATGGCGGGTTTTGGCCAAAGCTTGATGGAAAAGGTGTAGTAAAAATTTCTCCTAACACCACTCAGAGATTCACAGATTATTTGAGGTTGTAAAACTTAGTGCTTTCTACTTAGTGAATTTAGTCGTAGCGAAGAACCCGATCAGCTGGCCCTCGGACAGAAAATTATAGAAGTCGCACTAGGAAATGGATATCTCTGAGGGATCCATTTTGGTGAGAGTACAAACGTCCAACCAACGTCGTCACTTGGAATGATTATTGAACACTGAGAAACCACGGCACCAGGGTGATTCGTGGCGATAAGAGGATATACTAAGGGACGCTAGCAAAGGGATTTATCCTTCACCCATATGTTAACTCAATTGGGAAATTTAAATTTGACATACCAATACTCGACAGCATTGTGAGAGTTGCAGCCACTATAAAAAAGCAGCTGAAATGTTGAAAAATTAGTATTCCAATGCTTTTGTTGCACCAAATAATGATGATCTCCAGCTCCCCCGCCGGTTGCATCATACAATGTAACCTTTATTGATGAAAACTTCAAAGCAAAAACCCATGGCTATGCGACAAAATGCCTCAGGTGCCGGTAACATGCAATAGCAAACCCTTATCTGTTTGCTGAATGATATATTAGAACAACTGGCCATTCTATTTCAACAAATGTTGGAACATACAGCACTCCCACAATCGTGGAAACCGGGAGTGACTTCAAAAATATACGGAGGCGGTTTTTGTAGTGGCAGCGCTAACTGCCAACCTTTAACCCTCTTTTCAATGTTACCTGACGTCATGGAGTCAATGGTGACAGATTCCCTGTGGAAACACTTAGGAAGATACAACAATTTTTTCGCCAGCTCAACACGGAATCCGACAAAATTGATCCTGTTCCACCAACTTGCTTTTTGCACGAGATGCATCGGCTAGAACAATTGATGAAAGGGGCGAGTTGGATGTGATTTATTCTGACTTCTCAGAAGCATTCAATCAGGTTAACCCCCTGATTCTGCGGCAGAAGCTTTATAATTGCAGTTTTCGCGGTCTTGTGCTTTATTGGATTAAATCATGTCTCTCACAACGGACCATACGAGTACGTGTTCCTGATTCCCTGTACGGTCCGATCAACGTTATCCGCGGGGTTCAACAAGGGTTTGTACTGGGTTCCCGACTTTTCCGCACATTCATAAATAAACAACCGAATGCTCTAGGGTGAAAACAACACTGTTAGCGAATTACGCCGAACTCTGGAACAGGGCAGCACCAATCATGGGCACAGTAACATTTCAAGAAACATTCGACGCAGCGTATCGATGGTCCTAGGACAACGACATTGAGCTCGATATTTTCGAATAAAAATTCACATCCCTATGTCAAAAGAGTAGATTCCCTCGGAAATCAACAGCTGTCAAGTGAGAAGGACCTGGGAATCATAGTTCAAGAAGACTTAAGCTGACCGACCAATTGCGCCAGAGCTTTGTTCGCAGGTGTGAAGAATGTTGGTTTGGTTAGGGGTGTGTTTGGTTGAATTAAATCAGAACCAGTTCCTAGTGCACACTCGATCGTGCGCAGAGTACATCATCCAAGCCTGCAGTCTGGGAGTGTCTACAAAAGACCGACACCGAATTGTTTGGGGGGGTTGAATTACCTCACCTATGGGGAGAGATTGAAGTTGTTCTGACTATAGTCCATTCACTACCGACGAATTCGAGGAAACTTAATTCTAGTAAACCAAATATTGCAGAACCCAAACCATCCATATTGTCCGCTGCTCAGGAAAATGACTTCATATTAGTGCTTCCAAAGTGTCGACTGGAATGTTGGTATCAATCTTTTGCTGTCGAAGAGTGCACCAATTGGAATGTACACTCATTTCATGCCCCAAACGTTGAACCTTTCAATCGGAGACCTCATGAAACCCTGGCACACCTCACATTCCTAAACTACTAAAAACGCCAAAAAGTTCAATACCATATTATATTATCTGCCTCCCGCAACGATGTGTGACGTTTTCCACCATGAAACGATTCAATTGTGTAAATATCCGACGGGGAGACAAGTATGAGCTTTTAAATCTTTTCCAGATGGAAAATTCGACTTATTGGTTCTTGAGAATGAAAGAGTATTAAGAAAAATTGCGAGCCTGACCCGCGACCACAGTTGTTAGGCTGCCAGACAACACAAATAAGCACCAATTCGTCGGACGATGGAGCTTAATTTTTGCCACTCATCACCGTAACAAGCGGTATGGAGCATGAACGTAATCACTCACCTGATGATAACGGCCAATACGAACATGGGAATGACGACGGATCAATCCGTCCGTGGGATCCAACTGCGGAGAACGAGAAAAATGATGAAAATGTACAGCTAAGCGATTTGAATGATTTGACACTATTGGAAAACTAAAAAGAGGACAATCACAGTCATCGAGAATGCATTTTTGTTCCAGAAAACTCGGACAGGGACCACAACAAATATGTATACCATTCTGTCGGAAAATAACGGGGTCACTAATCAGCTTGAACGATAAGTTCCTAGTGCACCAATAGCACTCGACAATTCAAAACAAGCATTATCATTACACAATCAGGACGGAATGATCAACAGCATGTTCCCTGATGTATCTCCGTAAATATAGAACTAAATAACTGAAGTGGGATGACCTAATCAAATGCTTAACTGTCACAGCGCGCAGTAACACTTAGGGTAGAAACAACCGAGAAGACGAACAGATAAATCTTGTTTGAGCTACGTGAGAGTTGGTTCATTTGAATAATCAACTGAAAGTGAAATGATAATCGCTTCGGGGACGGTCTCCTGGAAAAGATGTGCATTCACGAGAAACAGAAACGAGTACCACCGCACAATGGGAGTTGTATCAAGTACATGGTTCTGACTGTCGTTGAGGCGAGAAATCATTTCAGTATCTGTTTGACTTGAATGCCCCGGAGTTGCCGGATGATTCTGATACCCCTCTCGTTCCGCGCAACATAAACCGAACGTTGGAAGTGCGCTCACAATATAGGGTCAAGAACTCGAATGCCTGAGACCATTTACCTATCTAGTAAGCGGAATGATCGACACAATTGTAGAACAGTCTTTAAACTACCAGTCGGACAGGAATAACCTAGCAGTTCAACAGGATAAGCACATCCTTCTTTCGGTAGTACAACCTAGAGTGGGATAGATAAAGATGCGACTAATAGCGGGTTGGACCAGAAAAAATTGTATTCAAAGGTGTACTATAGAGCTCGTGTCAAGTTTTCTTTTCCCCCAAAGGCTTTGACGACAGAACCGATTGCTCAAACACACCTGAAAAATTGACACGAAAGATTCAGTTGCATGCGCACAAATACCATATGATGATGAGGAGGAATAATGACAGCTGTAACGTTTGAGGCAAAAAGAACTATGCCGGTACTCCGGTAGACATTCTAGGGGCGACAACGAGAGCGGAAATTGTAGGAGACAAGCAAGATTTGATACATCCGAGGTTTCATTAAATCAGGCGAATCTCAGTTGAGTACAGGCGTAATTATTGCAATGTTGGTGACCTGTGTGACCGCGCAACTCGTTGCGCCGAACTAAACCTAATCTGTGAAAGATCACTGATGAGCTGCGCCAAACACGATCCGAGATGCTGGTGAATACAAGAGATTTCTCAGTGTGTTCGGCATTTTGGCGTCAGTTGCAAACATCACTACTGTTCGATACCTCAGAATGTTCGTTAGACCGTTTGTGAGAAAAGGTGAAATGAGGAGAAATCACAACAGCAAAAAACACAGGGAGGAGGAACTTATCGGTCGAAAATGGACGAGACAAAGAACCCGATCAATATTCCGAAAAAATCTTTTGTCGTGCCCTAAAGTCTCATTTGGAAAACCCTTTTTCTCATCTGTCTGGTTCTTAATCTCACTCACATATCATACGGGATATTTTCTGGTAACGTCACTCTCGAGCTATTAATGAGCGTTAAACGAGTCAAATCAACCAATCAGTAGTAGTAGCAAAATTCACAAAACCAAAGTACCTGTTGCACTGGGGACTGCACTCAATGTTCGTACACTCTATCCCATCGGCCACCAAGCTTAATTACAACCCTTGAAAAATTTCGAATTCATGCGATTGGACAAAGGTTTTACATTGCTGCAGACTAACCAGTTTCCATGATAGTTCATCATCTATAGTGGGTTGTGTACCGGTTCACCGGTTCACACCGGAAAGTGGTGATCGACAGGGTTACCCTCTCTCTTTCCATTTCTATTTAACTTTGTTATAGATTTATTTCTTGAAACAGCCCTATTCTAGTGCGAGGATATCGGTATCGATTTACTTTCAGGTGGCAGGCTGTCTGATCTAGAGTATGCAGACGACATTATGCTTCTAAGTGAACATCCAGGTAAGATGCAAGCTTTTCTGGACAGTTTGAGCGCTACTTTGGCCATGTTCGGTATGCGTTTTGCACCTTCAAAGTGTAAAATGTTACTACAAGATTGGGTTGGTCCAGTCCCCAACCTCACCCTGACCGGAAAGTAGTAGAAGAAGTCGAAAAATTTTGCCATCTGGGCAGCTATATCTCACCTGGCGGATGCATCTATCACAGATGAAGTATCGACACACATACAAAAGGATCGGTTGGCATTTGCCAACTTGAGACATTTGTGGCGCCGTCGAGACATCCGGTTGTCTGTGAAGGGTCGAGTATACATACGCTGCAGCAGTTCGGCCAGTTCTGCTCTACGGTGCAGAGGCTTGGCCACAACGGGAGCAGGATAAAAACAGATTGTCAGTGTTCGAACACCGATGACTATGTCGCATTGCACGAGTCTGTTGGGGAAACCGGACGAGCAATGCTGAGGTCATGCGTAGACTTCTAGGTAATTGCGGTTGTCCACTAGAGCAAATGACCGACCTCCATAGATTATGCTGGTTGGGACATGTGCTGCGCATGTCACCAGATAGGTTTCCACGGCGAGCGATGTTTGCCGAGGCAGGTAGCGGTTGGAAAGGGGTCACTGGTGGTCAAACTTAGACCTGGCATGAGGGTATGAAAATCCTGACCAGGAGACTAGGTCACGTAGGCCTCGTGAGGCTCCCTGGTTGGGGACCTCGGGCCGATGGTCACCGATGGTTAGAGACACTGAGTGACATGAGTGATATGGCTGAGTATGACAAACAGTAGCACCCGTGCATCCTCTCATTATTCCACTAACACCATTCTATATGAATTCTCCTCCGTTTAAATTTACCTTCAATCCTCCAATGTTCATTCTGCTCTTTTATCCAAATGGGGCATCAAAAGACGGCAACCAAAACCGGCGCACAAAAGTGGATGGTTGATGATCATGAACACTGAAACTGAAACTGGGGGTTGTTTGCAAGCAAAACCCTGCGCCATCTGTGCTCCGAAAATCGTCAGCGGAAATAGCGGCTAATTCACCGAAACAGCTGGTCAAGCAAACCCCAAGTCCAGTCGCGAAGGACTTTGTGCCTTTGAACCGGGTTGAAGACTGTTCTCCATTCAATTTTACCAAAATTCGTACAACTGAAACGAAGCCGCTTTTGGAAATTTTACCAAGGGAACATCTCAAACGATTCTTTGCATTAGTGTACAAGACACTGTAGATCATGGTCGCTTTGATAAGGAAAAACAGATAAACACTCTCAGTATGTGTTGCTTACATTGATCCCTAAGAAACTGTACTTGGTTGGTAGCCCTTGCAACCTCCTGGACGAATTTAGTGACTCATTCGTTAACTGCAACTTGGTGTCCTGATTATGATTATTATTATTATAAGTATTATTAATATCATTATTACCTAACTTACTAATGAAGAATAACTATGCAATCATAGAATAATAATCAGAATTTTAAGATTTCGCAAGTGTTAGCAGAACCGATGTCTAAGCACAGCTCTGTGGCAGAAATGGTTACCGGTTTCGAGAGAGGTAGTGTAAAATGTCAAATGTAACACAGAATTGTCAGACGGTGTGCTGGGTTTACATTCCATGGTAAAACGTGACTTCTACGAAATGAAAAATCAATTTGGTTAGACGAATAATGCTGCCTACTAATGAAACATGGGAATGTGGGGACAACTTCAAGAGCACCGTAGTGGACATTGTCTCCTTCAAAAACACCATCGGATGTGTCGCTACTTTGGGCGACATCGAAAGTTATGCTTATAAATGATGGCTGGACTATTGGCAAGAAGCGTCTGAATGGAAGCTGTAAAACGCAACCACAAATGAGTGATTTCACGTACTTGGTTGATAATCATATTTGAAGAATTAACTTGCCATATAAGACGTGAGTAAGTCTTGGTTAAAAGACGACAGTTTCGGAATCGGAAATATCAATTTTTTGCTGCTTTTCGTAGATTTTCACAAGTGTGTGTTTAGAATTGGTGTCTTTTTACGGCGAACGTGATGAAACCGAACAGCACTCTGCAAAGCACGTTGCTGGCAGGAAGCGCAAATGAACCGGGGCGGTAGTTAGGCTTACCTCAGCTGCAATCAGTTTCAACAGTGTGGATTTGCCTGCCCCGTTGGGACCGACCAGTGCAACACGCCGATCCAGATCAATAGCGAGATCCAAATTTTTGTAAATCCAGGGCTAGGAAAGAACAAGCGAAATACCATGCAACAGATAGAAGCAATACGAATACCAACGCACTGAAGTACAGAAATAGGGTCATTTATATGCATGTATATTTCATATCTCACACCGGATTGAGAACAAGCACGATGCCAATGCAACAACGATCATAATGATAGTACGAGGTACAGATTGATGAAATGAAGATGGAGGAAACAGATAACATGGGGAGGGGGTAAATGAATGAAAGGAAAAGCAATAAAGCAGCTTATTGCTGATCATCCTTTTCAAGCGGGCCTAGTCGACACCTATTCAATTCCAAATTTGAAGGTGCAAAGCACACACGGAATGCCGTAACATCAATTGTTTGTCTGTTAACCACGTCCGGGGTTGTGTACTCCACTTATTGGACAAACAAACAGTGTCATCATCATAGCCCAAGCCGCAAAGCTTTTCCCCAGCTACTCTCTCAATTACAACATTTCGGAGATCATGTAGTGCATTCTTTAGTATTAGTCTAAGAAAAAATCGAACAAGAAATTGCCACGCAGGATACACTTTAGGAAAATCACTGGTGGTTTCCAACTATCTGTTTAGTTCGCCATAGATCCTCACTCGACCAGAAGTATGTGACCTCAGTAAGTAGTCGCATTCCTGGGTGCCATGCAGTTCAGGGACCCGAGGCAATGCAAGAATTCGCTACACCAACGATCAGACCGAAATCTGGTTTGGTTTCACGGATATCAGTCTCTATTAAAGACATCAGACGTGGAACTATGACGAAGGTCAACAATTTAGCGACTATTGGGACCAAACTTATCCCGCGGTGGTTTGTGCAGTTGTTGCGGGATCTCTTGTTTCACAATCAGCGATACGCGGCAAGATGATGGAATGCATAAAATTAGTCAAATTTTACAATCATCAGCCATGAACTTTCGTGCACCAGTTCCGACCGCTGACTAGTTGAATAGAACACCACACCGAAGAGTGGAATGTTGCCAGCAGAGTTGGTAAGATAAAGAATTTACATGGACTAAAGTTGCAGGGATAAGGGGTAGATGAATGAGCTCCACTACGACATTCAGACTTAATACTCAGTGTCACTAGCCATGGATTGCGCTGACCCCGATGTTACCATCTAAGAAGTCTAATGCGGCCTAAATGAGCAAGTATTCTGGTTAGGGTTTCATAGACCTCATGCCAGAACTTAGTTTGACCACCATTTTTTCACCCAACATCAGCCTCGGCCAACAGCACGCGCAGCATATGCCCCAACCAATGTAGCACATGCTGGTTGAACAGTGAACGACTGCGATTGATTAAAACTCTGCGCTAACCTCAACACTGCTTGTTTGATTTCCCCATCCGACTCAGGCAATGCAAAGTAGACAGCGGTGTTCAAACAGCGACGTTTCATCTTTATCCTGTTTTCGTAATGGCCAAGTCTCTGCGCTGCATAACAGCATCATACACTCGACCCGTCCGGTTCTGCAGCTTTTCCTCTTTTCAAAGCTTGAATGCATGATAGTACTTTGCTTCTGCCGCAGGATAACAGGATACTGCCTACAGAGCTTCCGGAGGCATTCGTAGGATGTGTCATAGCTACGTTAGACGGTGCCGTGAAACGGATTTGATCATCGGAAAACTATCTAACCCTAACACACGTTGTTTGACCTCATCGTCACTCCCATCATACGCGGACAATGTTGCACAGACAACGATGATCGAAGACAAACAGCTGTTAGACAGGATCTGCTCGGAAGGGCCATGTTTCGCACCGGTGGGACAACACGGCGAGTACCGTTGCGCAATACACAAACCCCGTCAGTGAAAAAGGTATGTGGTGCCGGCACCAGAGAGGTTACGGATCAGCAAACACCAATCTTGCTTTGATTACGCATATAATTTCGTACGCACCTCTCCCAGCCGTTATGCACCACCCGAGGTAGACAAAACTCTCCACTACTTTTAATACATAGATAGGTTCCTGTCAATATCGTAGCAACACCATGCACTCTAAATGGACATACCATACTGGGCAAACTCAATCAAGTCAAATGAAACTAAGAATTCTGCATCCTAAATGAGAATTTCCAGCGATTTTCACAAAAATACAGTAAAAGTGGGAAAAGGCAAGAATGTGAAGGGGGTAAACAAAAACGACAGTAAACTACGAGCAAGAAGACGATAGTAATAGTTTGAAAAATGTATAAATAAACTAACTAATAGGACGTTCCACCAGGCCATCGCCAAGAGATTCAGCACGTTGTGCATCGCCGGTGCGTTATCACCGAGTAGGGCAATATCATCGGCATACTCTAACTCTACGAATCTTTCTGCAGGAAGCTCAACGCCAGCGTTCGGTACATCAAGTAACACTTTTTGCAAGACATCGCCTATGACAAAGGTGAGGAGAAACGCAGAGACAGGGCAAATTTGTCGTATGCCACTGGTGACAGGAAACGATAATGATAGTTCACCACAGGTCCTAAGCTTCCTCGAGGTCTGGCGGTAAAGTGTTTTTAAAAGCAGGACGTACATCTCGGATAATCCGTACCTCAGCAAACAAGCCAACAGGTCAGGGTGATCGATGGAGTCGAAGGCCGCTCTAATTGTCACATAATACGACAGTAGTTTGTCGCCTGTGTGCGACAGTGTTTCAGAAACTGACGAAGCGTGAAGACTTGATCTATGCAGTCACGGCACGCACGAAACCCAGTCTGCTCTTCGCGGATGTCTTTCACGAATCGGGCGTAGTCTACGTGATAAAAGGAACGAAAACAGCTTCGGTACTATGGGAATCAGACTTATGCCGTGGTTGGAATAAGTAATACGACAGCTCTTCTTGTAAATGGGTGTCCTAATGCATACTTGGCGAGTAAGTGTATAACTTCGTCTTTCCAGACCTTCGAGAACAGTGTGACGCTCTCTCACGAGAACGTCTCCGCCATTTTTACAGAGGACCGGCGGTGGAAGGTTGTCTTATCCAGACACATTATGGTGTTTCAAAGTTTGGAGTTTCGTTTTCGCCTTCCGCGCTCCAGATATACCTCAATGACAAATCCGGTTTATAGTAGAAGTGAAGTACGGTCCGCTTCACATGGAACGATTATTGTTAAATCATCTTTTTTTATTATACACCTAGGTGTGATGAACAGCAGACAGGGTGAACCCAATAGTCACGAGGACCTGCTGTTCAGTGGTTGAAATCCGCAACCTAAGCCCCGGAACTTGGAGTGGCTAACCACATAAGGCCCCGATAGGCTAGGCGTGGTATTGAACCGGACGATAGCAGAGCTGCCTACCACCAAAGTCGGGTGGAGGTGGCAGGGCTTGAACCTCGGACCACAAGGTCCACAGCACGCCGGTGACAGCGACTAAACCACTGAGCCACCACCACCCTAATCTTATTGAGACGCTGTTCAGAGCAGAGCAATCAAAGTGGCGGAGTTTATCTAACCTTTAACTTTGACTTTCATGCACTACAAGATCGTTTTGCTTGATAAAAGCCATCTTGTGTAGGTTTGGGGGTTATATCGAAGCAAATGTTATCATATCATGCCAAAATAATGATATTGCTTCCAGTTATCTAATTTTTCCCGAAAATATCCTCCACATGTTGTTGTAGGTTAAAGCGATAAATTCTGTCAATGAAACTGTTTGGATATTGTCATTGATAACTCGTGAATAAACAAACAGTTCAATTCAGTTCTTACAACCATTAACCATGCACTTTCGTTCGCCGGTTTTGGTTGCTGTCTTTTGGTTGCCCATTTGGATGAAATAGCAGAACGATGATTAGAATGCTGAGAGCAAATTTAAGCCATGGTGATGTGGTCTGCATCCATCTACGATATGACCGCCATGTGAAAATTCTGGATCCATCAAACTCGAAGGACATATCAGGAAACCAGGCAATAGAATATCAAGCATAAACTAGAGCTAGCCATGACTACAGTGACAGGTTGGCAATCGAAATATAAAACAGAATCTTGCGTGAAACGTGTACGAAAGTTCGAAACCAAGGGATCAATTATATTCATCGTAGAGCAGACGGCCATAAAGGAATAGCATCCAACAGGATTCAATAGTTCGGTCACTACAAAACTCGTGGTGGGTCGTTTCGTTTCGAATGGCCAAAACGGTAACCAAAGAAGGGTTCGATAATTCCTTCGTGTGGTGCATGCATAGTATGGCCAATGAAAGAGAATTCACGGATACCGTCCCCCAGGACACCGTTCAGGAACTTACTTTACCCGGGGAATAGCGGAAGCTAACTTGTTGCACTTGAATCACTGGAGGAGGTATTGTGCCTGGATCCGGGAAGTAGAATGTCAGTGTTTTGTCTGACTCCACTTTTTCTGCCAATCCACCATCGATCATCTTGGCTAAAACTTTTTCTTTGCTTTGAGCCTGACGAGCAAGTTTCTTCGAACCATGTCCAAACCGAGCAATATAGTCCTGAGATGAGAAAAAGAAACAGTAAAATCGAGTACAGGCGGAATAGTAGTGGATCGGTTGGAATCAAATAGTAGTGTAAAACGGACCGACCATAAATTTGTGCTGCAAAAAACACCTCATCAGTTCACTGATTATGGATAAAACCCATACTCAAGGTCTGACTGTCCTCAGGGAGCACGTAGGAATCAATGAAATATCACAATTAAAACAAATGATTAGGAAGTGTTCATTGTAACTTTGGAGGCAAAAGATTACAATTGAGTACCGGTTGGGTTTGGGAAGCATGATTTCCTGCGCTTGAGGCTTTACGTTACAACTTGTGTTCATCTTCCCCGAGCGCTTCTTTCTAGTATTTACTCCGTTAATGACCAGATAGTAGCTGTTTCCAACTCACATTTGATGCCACAGGAGGTCTGAACCTACCGAACCCCTAACCACCTCATGTAATGAAATCGGACTATTGAAAGGCATTTATTCCGAGCCTCTCGATATTCATAACCCTCTTCTAGCACGCTATAGTTGACAATCACTGATCCTCTCAGACGTCTTTGCTCTTTGAAGGTCAATGAGCGTCACGTGAGCATATGGCCACTGTCACGATGTTTTCGGTGCATTCTTTTCACATCACACTGTCTACCACCGATTCACCACAATTTGTGTTCGCCATCTAAGTGGAAATTCGGGATGACTAACTCACGCTTGCGAAGTTGTCGTGCGAAGTCCACGTGGTGCATGCTACTATGTTGTGGAATTAAAACAATGGTGTGGTCTGCATACAGCTCAGACTTGTATCCAAGAGAAATCATTCAGGCTATTCTTATTCGAAACGTCTACCGAGGTGCGTGAATTTGAACAAAAATTTAATTTAGAGACGTCCTTGATAGATGGGTGGAATAAAATCGACAGTGACATTATTCAAACCTTCCACAGAGTAACAGGTCGTACGTGTGGAAGTTTTCAGATGGAATGGTCTATGCACCTGTTATTAAACTGGTTTCAATGGACAAGTACCGCGAGCGTGCAACCCCTTTGTCGTGCTGCAATTGTTTGTTTTTGTAGATATATATATTCGGACAGATTAAGATGATGAAATTTATTATTTCGACTTCCAATTCGGTTGCCGACTAGATTCTTAAAAATGAAAATCATCGTTCAAATAAGAGTGCTCATCATAAAGCAAAACCTAGAGTTTTGCAGTGTTTCATATACTCGGATAAGTAACTATCAGAAAAGTTTGAATATTTAAACAAAGAAGCGTATCACGCGCATAGTTATGCAAGTAGCCAATTAAAGGCGAGGAAATTGGCCCAAAATCAACAGACAAAAACGAATAAATAAACGACAGGGCTTCAAGGAACATTCGAATTCGTTTGGAGGATTTCCGAAAGTATTTACCATACATCACAACGAGACTGCACCTTGTCGTGGTGTGATAGCTTGCGTGACTGCATTACCTTGTGAGCTATACAGGATGGCTTCTCGCAGCCACAGATCCAATCATGCGTGAACGATCAATGGATAGGGACCACACGAAGCCGTCTTACAAAACCTGTCGATTGGTCACCTGGACTCCTTTGACTAACCACTCTCGTCCCCAGGAGGTCACTTCAGCAGATAAACACGGGGAGTAGTTTATTGGTCAAACCCCGTTAGATGGGCGGAGGGCTTCGTCCTGACGGTGGGAGAACTTTTCGCCTTCGCTGGACAGCTGCCTCCCATCCGAAATGGGCATCTCCCAGTCAATTAAGTGCGGTCAAGTCCACGTTTTAGCCTGTCGCCTTGGGTGCATGAGGCTAAGGATCGATCCCGAACAGTGGACCGTCAATCGATGAACCAGAGAACAACACACTGAACCGAAAATTGGAGATATGGCGTGACATGTCTTCAGAAGCCCCCACACGGGTGTTTGGATCACAGTCCTGCGTTGGATCTCCGCTCCACTGCCTTTTGGATTAGACTTATGAGTCACAGGCTTCGATCAGGGTTCCTTCATCCCCGCGCTTCACTCTCCGTACGTCGGATGATCTGGCACCCGAAGCTCGCGTTATTGCTGGTGTCGAGATTGCATTAAGTGGCAAGGAAGAGTGTTCACTCCTTAACTGGGTGCCGGTTAGTAGCCGACTTGGCGCTGTACGTCTCGTCGACTCAGTATGGGTTAACAGATACAAAACGGTGCTTATTCGCTGTGTCCGTGTATATCCTGACCGATTGCAGTTAACCAGAAATGATGAACCCTTCAAAGATCTCACCCAACTACTACAAAGTACTCGATCAACGGACATCGTGGTATTCGCTGGAGACTTCAGTGTTCATGTGGGATACCTAGACGAATCAGAAAGGGTTATTAGGGGTCCACATGCAATCCCAGCTTCCCGGTCGGACAAGTTAGATTGCCTACTTCAACTCTGTGATGACAAAGAATTGTTCCTGTCAAAGTACCAACTGCTTGCACACGAAAAGACACCTTACATGGAAACCAACATTTCACAGCAACGGAGACCATTAGATCACTGCCATCAGCTAAGGCTGGCGAGGAACCATTCGAGACTGCCGCTCTTACTGATCAACATCCATGGGCATGGACCACGCTTCACTACGAGCCAGATTCTGGTAAACAACCACACAAAAAATTACCGGAAACGGATGCCCACAATAATATGCCAGGGACAATTGCAAATCAGCTTCCGCAGCGGAACTCTCTGATAGCCTATCAGATCAACCATCAACCGAAAGACTCAATGAAAACTGGACGATAGTCAAGGAAGCGATCCAAATGTCAATGGAAACAACGACGGATTCCGGAGCAGGATCGAAGCAAAAACGATGAATCTCCTTGACCTCGATTGTTTTGCTGGACGCTAGCAAAGCATTCCTTGTGATGCAAAACAGGACAAAACACCCGAATCTCTTAAACGCCATCTCATCAAGAGTCTGAGGAATGACCACGAAAAGTGGTGGATAGGGGAGTGTAGAGAGAGAGAGAAAAGGTTGTGGCTAGGGGTAATAACGGCAATCTCTTTCGTCTACAAAGGAGTAGGAGCTCAATGAAAGTAGGCTCGAGATTATTAGGGAGTTTGATGGCACAATGATTCATATTCAGCAGAGCCGTCTTAAACATCTGAAGACTCAGTTCAACTGTCCCCCACTGACATCAACCTTGTCAATCCCTACATCAGCTGGGCAACTAGTTTTTTATTACACACCTAAGTGTGTTGAACAGCAGACAGGGCAAACCCAATAGTCACGAGGACCTGCTGTTCAGTGGTGGAAACCAGCAATCTAAGCTCCGGGACTTGGAGTGGCGAATCACATTAGACCCCGATAGGTTAGGCGTGGCAATCGAACCGGACGACAGTGGAGTTGTCCACAACCAAAGTCGGGTGGCGGTGGAGAGGCTCGAACCTCAGACCACAAGGCCCAAAGCAGGCCGGTGAAGGCGACGAAACCACTGCGCCACCACCGCCCTGTGCCAGTTGATGTCAGTCCTCTATCTGAAATGGAGGCCCCTGGTCAAGACGGGTAGTTCCATCGGTTTTTACGATAGAGTGAACCTCTTGGTTTTAGAGTTGACGAAACTCTCGGGTGCGACATGGGAGAGCGAGCCAGTTCCAACTGAGTAGTGTGAATCGGTCATAACACCGATTTACAAGGTGACATATCCTCCCGTGAAAACCACAGAGGAATGAGTTTAATCGACATTGCCTAGAAACTTCTCGCTAGGATCATACTTCGTCGCTTTTCTGCCGCACGAGAACAGTGCATGTGTGAGAATCACGCTGGTTTTCGGCCTATTGTTTCCGTAGATCAAAGGTGTCGAATGGGGGAAGAACCGTTAGTTCTGAGAAGGACAAAAATGAAAGATTACAATTAGCAACAAACAACGGGCGTTCGGGTTAGAAAAGCTATCAAAACGGAAGTAGATCTCACCTTCATGGAAGCTATTTGATCTTGTTCCCATTTGTATCGTTTCATTTGATTCTCTTCCAATTCGTA